CTTGCATTAACTTGAAATTTTGGGTGTCCATACTTATCAATCGTACACACCTAAAAATATATAAAAATAATTGGATAAAAATTAATTGATCAAAATGCCCCTAAAACATTCATAGGTATTTTGGTGAATTAATTTTTGAATTATTTTGTTTATATTTTTTTAGGTGTGTCTAGATGTGACGCACACACCTGCAAAATTTCATGGAAGTTCAATTGGTAGAAAAATATTTAAACTAAAATACTAAACACAATCATGGCTGTCCTTTTCTTCTCTTTTAATCTGAACTATTGGAGGGTGCTTGTGTACGTTTTAAGCCACAACATATTGACGTTATATCATCCCGTTCTGTAATTGAAGAATTTAGATTTTATTTGGGTGTAGTCTCCAAGTTAATTGACAGGGGGAGTTTCGATTTCTATGGATCTATGATTCAAAATCCATATGAATCATTAGTTTCCTTTAAAAATCCATAAAATCTAATTGTTTGGTCTTAAAAAGTAATTAGAAACTTCTCTAAGGATTTTTATATACATAGAAATCTGTTTCCCTTGGGTGTGGTTGAGTGTAAGAGTGTAAAATGAAGTAACAGATTGATAGAAAATGCGTGAAATAGGTAAAATGGATACTAGTCAAGAGAGAGAAATAGTATGTCTTAATTACTAAGTGATTTGTATTCGTTATTTGAGAAACTCAGTGATTGATTTTGTCTCTCTCCCCTCTACTTCGATAGTGATTTTATCTTTGGTGTGGGTCTCAAAGAAATGATTTTTGGGCATGTAGTTTTAGCTACATTTCCGAGAAAAAAAAAAAATTTCCTCTGCACACGCATGTTCAAATCGCATAGGAAGAAGGGGACATTAGTGAGCTGACAATTCTTTGGAAGATGAATATAACTAGATATTTTGGGAAAAGGGAGCAGGGAGGATAGCAGTATCTGTGCTGTGGAATCTTTTGAGGCTTTCTCAACCTGATCAGTGCACAAGTCCATGTGCAGAGTGAAGAGCACGAATTCTAATTGCTAAACATTCAAGCCATTATTGGGACTACCAGATTTTAGGGGAATAGTCCATGTCGTTCAGAACCAATTTTGTAGTTTATCTTGTTTACTTCTCAGACCTGCATTAGGAGGAGATTCTCTTCATGTGATTGTGATCAAATGCCTCTCCCATGAAGTTGACTTATGTGATTGAACTATTGAAGAATTGGCGAACTATTGAAGAAGTTTTGAGTGTGTTTGCATTGTAAAACAACACGTAACTGTTGATGCATAGAGATTTATATTATCTGGAGTGAAGGCTGAATGGTTTCGTGTGTCACAGGCCACCGTGCATTTGTTCAGAGAAACGGGAACTGGTCATTTCATTATTTTTGTAGTAAGTTTTCTTGAGTTCACAATATAATTTTTTAATGGTATTCCAAGAAAGAATGTAACTGTGATGAGATCAGAGTAGGATTAAAGGAGTCTGGTTGTTTATTCACTGTAGGTGGCTGGTAATCGAGTCATCCCCATGCAGTTGAACCCTTCAAAGAGAGTTAATAATGTTTGGCTGTACAATATTTGGGAGAGTGCAATACTGCATAGTAGTTCAGCTGTGAAGGGGAAGGCCATCCCAGTGCAGTTGAACCTTTCAAAGAGAGTTAATGATGTTTGGGTGTGCAATATTTGGGAGAGAGCAATACTGCATAGTAGTTCAGCTGTGAAGGGGAAGTAACTGTGGCTTCTGGGAAGATATCATCTTGAGTGAGATCAGTGTTTAAATACATGAGCTTGTGCCAGGACTTGCCAGCGTTCCAAGTCCGACTCACCCAGTCCGATTGGGTGAGTCCCTTGTTGGACTTGTGATTTTCATACACATAAATTAGCGTTATGGGCTCCCAAGGTTTTGCCTCCCGACTGGCCAGGATGCCGGCCCAAGCTGACTCAGGCAAGTCCACTTGTAGGAACCAGGAGGAGACACTGGTTTGGTTGATCTCGTTTTGGATCTTATTGGCTAAGGTTAGAAAGCAATAATTGCACTAGGCAAGGTTGGAGGACTACTGATTGTTTCAGGTGTATTTTTTTCAGGAGTTATAATAACTGGATGGGCCAAGAACAGTTCTAACTAGATTTCAGGGTGTGGTAGAAGATTCTTGCATAATGCATGATCATTGAGTTGGATTTGCATAAATGAACTGGGAAGATCTTGGATTTGTTAGTATTCATTTAGAGTTTGGGTGCTTTGCCTGGGGCTTGTGAGAACTTCTTCCCATATTGTGATTTGGAACATAAGAGGAGTTTCGCCAAGTTGAGACAAGTTGAGAAGTTGTTGGTTTGCTAGCTTTTGAAGTGGCCTTGCTCATTTTGTGTCTGTCCTTGTAATGTTTGTCCATGTGCTTTCCTTCACAGAATTATTTGTATTTCACAAACTTTGAAACATAAATTTTGGAATAAAGCTTAATTTACAGTACCAGATTGCCTTGTGCATGTGTATGGCTTATAAAGTTTTCCACTGTCATTTAGTTGTATAAACTACAAAGCTTGAAACTGTACAGGATGACATCTGGTCTGAGTTTCTAGTGTACATGAATTCTCAATCACAAAGCATAGGGATCCAGGAACCTTGCTGCAAGTTTTTATTCACGGTTTTAGAAAATCCTGACTTGTAACATCTCCAACAGCATGATGATGATTAAAATTATATGACAAATTGGTGATTTCAGTAGCTTTTAAGTCTTCCACTAGGTTTGGTTCCTTGGTGGCAACATTTTCAATGTTTCACATGTGTTACACACAATTGAGACAAGACGCATGAAAAGCTTTTATTATCATTCAGAAGTAAACACATGGAAAGCCAAGCAAGCACAAAATAAATTAATGTAAAATACAGAAGCCCAAAACAATTGGAAGTTAATGAACACTTGGGATTGAGAGTGATAACTATCAAGAGACTCAAGGATGCCAAAAAAAAAAACAGAAGAAAAAAAATAAAGGGAAGCATTGAACCAAACTAGAAATTAAAATGCTACAAACAAAAGAAATAGAAATAGGGAAGAAGATCTATAATGAAAGTATGATGGGAAAAAGGAAAAGCATGCGTATATTATGCTCCCACGAAGGCATACTGTACACTGCTCCCACGAAGGCATACTGTACACTTACTTCATTGGGCATAAGACTTACTTGGGAAGATTTTTTTGAAATGAAAGTTTGGGAACCACGTAAAGAACACTGGATGATTATGTTCAAAAGAAACAATTTGAATTTTGAGTTTTCTAACACTTAAGATCTCATGCTTAAAAAATTGTATAGTTTCTATTTAATCTTGAGGCATTATTTTTCCAAGCCCATAGAGAATACAAACAATTTTTTTTTTTTTATATTGAGTTTGACATATGGGCTGAGAAGGTTACGTCCCCAAAACTTGGGGTTTTAAAAGTACTCGGGAGCATGAAATATTTTGGCGAGGAAAAAAAATGCCAAAATGCCATCACTTCACGAATGAAACAAGGCTCAAACTATATTTATATGAAAAAGAGCTGAAATATAGCATAGGTGAAAATTGTGAGTCAATGGGTGGACTAGAAAATATTAACATGTATATACGAAGGAAATGAATTGGTCAGCCCAAGAGTAGACAGTTACAGTATCTGTCCTAACATAAACCCGCAGCTAGGGGGACCTTTTGGAACCCAAATTTTTGGTTCCCTACTCATCCAAGTGCCCAAGACCTTTTTATTATTATTTTTTTAATGTTTATTACACTTCCCAGAAGTGCCTGAAAAGCTTGCCCAACAGTCAACATGGATCATCTAGTTTTTGGACAGTTAGATCTAGGTCCCAGAGAATTCAAATTGAGTTTTGTTTATTTATTTTATTGTTCATCTGCTGGTGATGGGGCAATTTGCAAAATTTGTGCTCAAACAAAATCCATTAAGGCCTAGATTTGACTTCATTCTGGAACAATTGAAATGGACTACTCGTATTCATTGTATTCTCTCTTTCCTCGAAAGAAAATTTTATTCTAAATTTGTTCAGGAAATTGTTTGTAGGATCCTAGAGAGTGTGCAGCCAAAACTTAGGCCCTAATATTCAGGCAAGCCAAAAGAAAAAGAAAAAGGGGAAAGTATGGAGGACACTATAGCGGTCCACCTTAGGGCAGACCAGATCTCTTTTCATAGATGTATGTAGGCATGTATGTGTTTGTCCATGCAAATAATGTTATAGACAATAGGAGTCCAGTGCTTCAAGTATCTCATATTATGAGGAAGTGGGGTGCCCCTCCCCACTTGACTTCTAGTGGGTGTTAAGGAATTTCAAGAGGATCGATCTCTTCTCATTTTGACACCTTGAATTACTTTGTGAAAAGCAGAATATGAGCAAACTTTGTTAAAACTAGTTATCTATGTTACAGTCGATAGGGACTCGTGTTGAATGTTTTAGTTATATTGGGGGCACCCTAAGTTGTTGCAACATGCCATGGATATATCTGCGCTGTTGTCGGTGTGAACAGTTTTTCTAGAGCGTATATAGCGTAGTCTATTGGAGCACAATGTAAACTTTCTCCCTCGGGCAAAACACCTCCTTGAAGTGAATTTCTTGATTTGGAATGTTGGGATCCACTTTATAATCATCAGATGAGTATTTTGAAGAAAAGGGAAGGTTTTTGAGTTTCTAAGTGCTTTAGATTTGGCGGTCCAAAATTTGGACAATCTCAATTCCATTTTATTTTTTCGGGCACATAAAGAACATGTATGACTATTACTTTATTTATCTTTTCTGCAGGTTGGTCACTAGGTTCATGTTACGTCCCGGAAAGTGGGGTCCTAAAATACTCCTAGATTGGATTTTACCCAAGCAAATGAATGCATGAATGGCTCCCTGGGGAGCATGTAATCTTTTTGCTTTTATTCATACATTTCAATATAGAATTTAAAATTTGTTTTACCATTGTGTATCAAAACATGGGTGATACAAACAAGAAATTGGGGATAATTTGCCGTTCAATTCCATCATTTTACAGGAAAAAGATGGAGTGAGACCTATGACTTCATATATTTCTTGATGCAGGATGCATGGCAGCATTGGAAGCTGAACATTTCCTTCAAGAGATGGGTGATCAAGAGGGCAAAAAACATAGATGATTCAATATTTGAGTTCTGTTTAAAAACATATTATTGTATTGTTCGTATATAAAAGCTTTGTTCCTACCATTTTTACATGCACACAATTTCTTTATTGCTAATTGTCTTTTAAATCATTCCATGTAGTTACAATATTATTAATATCATCATCATCATTCGAGCTTTATCCCAACTATTTGGGGTTGTCTACATTATAATTAATATATTTTATATTTATCAGGGAACAGATTGGATAAGCCAATGAACTTATATTGTAGCATAAGCCCCTTTGGAAATTCGGTTTTGTTGGACCCTAACTTCTGCAGGTTGATTTCATCTAATCCATCAAAATGGAAAAAAAGGTTGAATTTGCAAGGAAAAAAGGGTAATTGAGTCTGCCATTTTTGTTGCATGTAGGTTGACCATTTGGTGGGGCATTGTATCCTCTCAATAACTTAATTTTTTTTTCTTTTTCAAATTGCTTAAAATCTGTTATTTTTTGAATAAAAGATGTGCGAAATTTCAGCCCAAACAAATTTTATACAGTGTGGCTCCATTTACACCGAAACCTGTAAGCCAGTTGGCTTATGCTTATATATATATATATCCAATTTATTATTATTTTTTCTTCAAATTTTTGGTGGGAGCTAGTAATAGAACTAAGAAATAATTCCATTTACCTGAAAACACTAGGGATTGGTTTTTTATGTCCTTTCACTACCAGTCATATGTCTTACTGTAATCTCATTTTCTAACATGTGGATAAAAAAATGTACAGCTCTTTACATGGAGACTTATAATGGGGAATCAGGGTTTTCGTTTCTGTGCAAAAAAATGAAATGCATTCATTGTGCGGGTGCCACAAATATCAAATCACATTTTTGTTCATGCAGAGCCTATTGCATGTGACTACAAAACATTGCATTCTAAATTTCTAAGTGATGGTTTATTGGTCATTAAAGGATGTAAGCCTTCTTGTTGCAGCTTATCTCTCTCTCTCTAACTATCTCTCTCTCAAGTATGAGAGCCTTCTTGTTACATCACTCTGTGTGTATGTGTATGTTCGTGTTTTAATTGGTGTGTTTGCACTAAGGTTGTGAGCACTGCGACTCGTGACACACGAACAATGACTGTTAACTATATAGATATGCCTTTCTCCAATCTAAGTTATAACTTGTTTTCCCTCTGTTTCTTTTAGGACCAAGCCATCGTGTGGCCATATAGAAACTAGATGAGTTAATGATGCTTATCAGTAAATATGGGTTCAGTTGTGTTGTTTCCTCTACGAATGTATGGATATGTGTTGGCATTTGACACAGATATTAGCTTGAGGAACGTTATAGTAGAGTTGTTCTTTTAGACACTTTTAGGCATGACACATCCGTATATTATTTAAAGAAAATAAGATCTGTAACTTCAAGTAATTGATGAATATTTTTATAGTGAGATTATAAGAAATGTGACAAAAAAATGTTTAGATTTGTAAGTGTCAACGCATGCCGTATCTTGGGTGTGTTGACGCACGTGTAAAACCAACTACAAATGCATCCATTGTACTTCAAGTTGTTTCTAACCTTTATCATGTATGGGTTTGTGAACATGTGCACACAAATCTAGTTACAACTTACAATAGTGGAGGACTTGTTATATAAAATTTGACAAATTAAATTTATAATATTAATTGAGAAAAATGATTTTATAGGATTTTTTTCTACCTATGTCTCTAGGACTTCAAAAGATTACCGTTAAATTTGACACGGATCTATAGAAAAGTCAAGTTCTTCACTCATGTGATAACTTTCCTATAAATGTGTCAATTTTAATAGTAACCATTTGGGATCCAATACATAAATGAGATAGGGTCCCATAAGATCATTTATCTATTAATTGGCCACTATATCTAATGTATATTTAGATTTCCAAGAGACTGTATTTTTAAATGTAAAATTAAAAAATTTTAAATGATTAAGGCACTCGTGTGCAAGTTAGAGGCTAAAGTATTTCAAAAGAATGTTGAGATGACACTTATCAGTCTCCTTTCATAGTTTGATTTGACATAAATAAACTTTTATAAGGAAATTTTAGGCATATTATAAATGATTAGTGAATATTTTTCTTCTTGACTAGACAAGTATCAAGTTTTACTGATTTTTGAATGAAATGGTACTTGGGTCCATCACCCATCAATCTCTTTCTAAAAGGTTGGATTATTGATGAATCTCTTTTAATGAATCGTTCTTGAAATGAGCTCTCGAACCTCTTTTGTGCTGTAACTTTTAGGTGAGGTTTTATATAAGGCGCTTTCCTTATGCTATAGAAGTAAGACGTATCTTTAAATTTTGTTTGGAGGTGTAGTTCTAGTATCCTAAACCTTATGATGGCTTAAAATTCTGTTTTCATCTCTAGCTATAATTTTTAAAATTTTTCAATAATGGTATAAATTGAATAAATATATAAAAATTTAAAAATCTTGAAAATTGACGTTACAAATAACTTATTACAACTATTTTAATAATTTGAAATTCTTTTTTTTCTTTATATCTATAAATTTAAAGGTCATGATAATCACTTGGAGCATTTCAAAGGTTAGAACACTCTCTTCTAAAGGATTTTCGAGGTGCTTTTTACTTCAACAGTATAAAGATGATACCTCATATAAACTTTTTTCCTTAAAATTTTTATTGGGTATTACACCATTGAATTGATTGGAGGATGAAATGATAAATGTACAATCCGATGCTGGTAGTGTCCTTGCATTTGGGAAATTTTGGAATTTCCCAAGGCAAACTTTCGCCCTTTCTTTCTCCCACTTTTTCTTGTAGCCTCTTCTAATGGTTATTTTAGATGAATAGTGTGGCAATGGGCGTAACCCGATCTGAAAAACTAGGGCCTAAACATGGGCCTAGGGCTGAGCGACTATGGCCCAAGGGGTGAGTTTGGGCTAAGGCTATGCCAGGGCTGGCCTGCCCTAGTCCTTTGTTTTTCTTATTCTTCTTTTTTGCTCTACGAGTCTGTTAGGACTGGCCTGAACTAGACTAGGTTAAGGCCACTATGGCCGTATCTGGCTCGACCGTGCATGGGTCAGCCCTATAGGGATTTGAGTAGAGCTGGGGCCAAGGTTAGCCCTGCCTAGCTCTGGCCTGTTCCGAACATACTATGAATACGATCAGATCATCGTGTTTTCTACTACACAAAGGTCACAACACCCCAAGCGGCAACACACAAATTAGATGGTTGGAGTGCCATTGTTCTGTGCACGGTAGATTGGGGAACGTAGTGTAAATTGTATGGTGTGTGTAAATTGTATGGTGCACAATGCTCGTTATAAGTGCAGAAAAATTTCTCATATTTCATGTGTGGTTCAAGGCGCACCCATAGCCACTGATTTCGCATTTGATAGGTAGGTGTCACAATGACCTTTTTGTAGAGGAAATAAATAGTCTTATTGTACACTTTCCAGAAATTGACGTTGTTCTCAGTTCTTAATCTAAAAAGGTTTTGTTTTGGATTTCTTATTTGGCATCCCATATTCTCATGGAATGTGAATTTTTGACAAAACATAGTGTTCTTGACTCCTCCTTGAGGATTATACTAGTTTTAAAAGCATAAAAAAATTATTTTAAAATCTCTTTTATTCCTTCTTTGCTTGAGTCTAATTCATAAATATCTAGAGCAACTTTAATATATTCATCGACTCTTAATGTAATTGAGCACCATTACAATTGTAAGTTTCATCAAGCCTTAGATATTTTCTTTAAAGGAAAAATCATATAATCCTATGAGCATAACGCACTTCAAAAAGGAGTTTGTTGGACCCCCAAATGTTACTCAATGTAGGAGTTTGTCGCTAAGTATTTTGACCAAATAGGATTGTCTAATTCCCATAGAACCAATCACTAAAAAATTACTCTAGCTCTATGCTTTGGGGCTTGGTTTATACCTACAGCTACATGCCTGTTGTTTCTGAAAATCATTTTTGGTAATTAAAATAGTGACTCATACATGTTCAGTGCGGCCATGCATGAGTTGCGAGCTGGATTATTCCTCTATATTTGAAATAAAATAAAACAAAAATTGGACTTGGACTTGGGTTTGAGTGATTAACAGTTGACATTCGTAACACAACATCTCAAGTTCAATTCTTATGGCTAAAAATAACAATTTCTCAAAAAATAAAATAACAATTTCTCAAAAATGACAAAATTGACTCTAAATGCGCATAGGATACCAAATGAATAAGCCAAAGAGTGATTAGGTGCAAGCACAAGGCACCCACTTTCCTCCTTTCGACAAGGCGAATCTACACAGTGGACAAGGCATTCTCTCTCTTGTCCTTCTCTAACCAGCATCTATCATCTCTCACATTCTTTGAAGTTTCATGTGCCTGATTCATTGGACAACTCTTAAAGAACATTGGGACCATAGACTATAATTAAAAGCATGCTTTTATTAATGGCTCTCTTAGTTCCACAACTAATAATAAACTACACTAGGTGCCATGTGAGAGAAAGGACCCTAGCCCTCCCTTTTTCTTAGTGCCCTCATTTAACAAATATTAAATTGTACTAGATACCTTGAGAGAGAAATTAAAGAACTCCCTTTATCTTAGTGCTCCCATAATCCTAGAGATGATAAATTATGCAATATACTATGAGATAGAAACTAGACCTCACTTTATCTTATTGCTCACAAAGTTCTGCATTAAATTTAGGTCATAGTAGGTGCCATGGGAGGTAAATTAGGCCACAAGAACACTAGATCACACTATTGGTAAATGAAATGCTAAAGGTCTTCAGAAAGAGGTGCTGCTGCCCTTGACTACCAGAGAGACAGAGGGAAATAGAGAGACAGAAACAAGTACCTTTGTAAGAGGAGTAGAGAGAGAGAGAGAACAAGTACCTTTGTAAGGGGAGTTGATAGAGAGAGAGAGCATAATTCACCTTTGCTTTACAAGAGAGAGAGAGAGAGCATAATTTACCTTTGCTTTACAAGAGAGAGAGAGAGAGAACAAGTACATTTGTAAGGGGAGTTGAGGGAGAGAGAGAGCATAATTCACCTTTGCTTTACAAGAGAGAGAGAGAGCATAATTCACCTTTGCTTTAAGAGAGAGAGAGAGAGAGAGAGAGAGAGAGAGAGAGAGAGAGAGAGAGAGAGATACTACTACGTTCGTACTTACGTAGTAGTAGTAGGTAAG